TTGCATGGTATGTGTATATATTCTGTATTCTTATAATGAAGTAAGGTAGGGAAAAGAAAATGTTACTTTTTTAAAGATTTATTTCAGAGAGAGTATGAGGGGAGGGACAGAAGAAAAGGGAGGGAGAAAGGGAGAGAGAAACCCAATCAGACTCCCCACTGAGCTCGGAGCTGAATGTGAAATCAATCCCAGGATCCCTGAGATCAGATGTGAGCCAAAATCGAGAAGTGAGCACTCAGCTGATTGTGCCACCATGCACCCCGAAAAGAAAATGTTATTAAAATTGTAAGGAGGGAAAAGTATTTATTAAAAAAATCTGCATACAAGTGGACCTATGTTGTTCAAGAATCAGCTGTATGGGATTTGGGCAAAATGTGTGATAAGAGTATAGTATTGTGCATAAAGCCATAAATTTTGGTGTGAAACCTATATTCAGGTTCTAACTAACTCTCACCTTCTAGTTTGGGGGTTTGGGCAGAAATTTAACCTCTGTGATTCTTCATTTCTTAATCTATAAAATGGGAGTGATAATATTTGCCTCACTGGATTGTGAAAGGATTAAAAGTGGTAATGTGTATGTTTTAACCAGGAACTTCTTGGAAATGAAATGTAAGTGTAGGATTAAACTGATAATACTGTATTTATTAAGCTGATGATACTTTATTAAACTGATAATATTTCATCCTCACTGCCCTGAGTATTAGTATAAAGAAATAAAAAGGGAGTGAAGCATCAAAGATTGAAGCAGACTCTGAGTGCAATGATTTGGTGCAGGACTGTATTGGGGAGCATGTGAAGAATAACACCTGTAAAGTGGTGGAGAAATTGAACTGCATCAGAAGTCTCAGCCAGTCTCAGAAAGCTCAGGATTTGGATGGGTCTTTGTTTTTTTTTTTTGTTTTTTTTTTAAGATTTTATTTATTTACTCATGAGAGACACAGAGAGAGGCAGAGACACAGGCAGAGGGAGAAGCAGGCTCTCTGTGGAGAGCCCAGTGCAGGACTCAATCCCAGGACCCTGGGATCACGACCTGAACCAAAGGCAGACGCTCAACCACTGAGCCACTCCGGTACCCCTGAATAGGTCTCTAGAGTGGACCCAAAGTGAGGAAGGCTCTGGGTCTGTACATTCCCTCAATCACCAGCCACTAGGTGCAGGCTGGAGAGAGAGAGTGACAAAACCTGAGACCGGGCAGCTGATTTTCTCCGGTGGCATACACCTATAAACTGTCTACTGCCAGTACTCATGCATTGATCCTGTAAGGAGGAATGTGATACCATGAGCTTCTGCAGCCCTGGCCACCACTTCGTCCAGGGTCCCATAGTGACTCAACAAGGTATAGCAGGTACATGCTGCATTATCCATTAGCCAATGCACAGGTTTGCTAGAACTCTCAACAGTGCACAGAAGACAGAGAAAAGGGAAATTTATTTGCATAGCTCTCTTCCATGCCCTGTTTCCCACCAGTCAAGGTTTACCCCATGCCTCTGTGCCTCTTAGAAAAACCAAATTCCATGGTTTGCTTCATGGATTTCACCTAAAAATTGCACACTGATCAGGAGAGAGAAAAGAAGAGATCACTGAGGGAATTTGAGACAGTATAAAAGATTGGTATCCAGTTGAGCTGATAAAGCAAGTAGTCTAGGACATAGCTTAGAGTGAAAATTCAATATATAGTAAACACCCATGTAGTGCCTTCCTGTGTGCCAGCCCCCCTCTGAATACTTTACATAGATTAATATATTTGTTCCTCACAATAGCTTGATGAAGAAAACTCTATACTATTTACATTTTATAGATGAGGATGTTGAGGCTCAGATACCAAACAGTAGTGTATAACACAGCAGAGAGTTTATAATCAGGTGTCATTTCAGAGTTTATTATGTGAACCCATTCACTGTATTGCTTCCATGTGGCTATTATTATTATTATTCCTATCATAATTAAAATATGTAAACATTTTATCATTGTAAATATATTCAAATATTTAAGACTTTATAAAAGTTTCAGTAATTTTTACCTTTATTTTTAAACTAACCTACCCAAGTTTCGTTAGGTATACCATAGAAAACAGGACCATAAAATAAAAGAAAATGTATGTGGTTAATTCAATAAAAAAATATCTTCTGCATAGTATTTCTTATATCGGGATGACTACAGCCTGCAATTAGAGAATCTGTAAATCTAAGGATTCTAATTCCATTTCTACCATTAACTGATTTGTTATTCAGAGTACGTCATTTCATCTCATTATGTGTTACCATATTTGTAAAATAGTGTAATTAGTAGCATCTCTTCCATATATGTCACAGGATTGTTTTTTAAGGATAGAAATAAGACAATATATGTGCCTGAAATGAAAAAAATTTTATGAAAACAACCTGGAATTATTTGAGAAAAAGTTTAAGTGTTTTAAAAGCACTGCATTAGAAAAAAAATCCCTGGATAAAAAAAATCAATAATTTTTATAATTTTATAAAGAAGCCTAGTTAGAATAGTTTTCACCTTTTAATCCGTAATGGGATCATAATTTTTTATTACATCCTTTACACTGAGACATATCTTCATTGCTATTGATGTAACAAAAACTTGTATATCAGGATAACAATTTATTCAGCTCTTCCTACTTGGTCATTAAACAAAGACTATTTGACATGAGTATAACTGTGGTGTTCAATATATCTGTACAGTCTCAAGTATGGCAATAAATCAGGAACATAAGATTGATTTTTTTCAAAAATTGTACAAATTTATTAAATTAATTACTTTTATGTTTTGAGATTCGTTTTTCTAATGTTTTGTCAAATTTCTTGGATTTATTTTTAGGGCTTCTCAGTTCCTTCTGGGTTTATAGCGCACTTTATTCACATACTGGAAGCTGACATTCTTTTACATATCTCTCAGTTTTAGCTTTCCTTGTCAAGCTCCCTGGGTACACACTGTTTTTATTTTACATTTCTGTATCCAGAAGATGGACTGTTTTTATGACATCAAATAATTTACACTTCTGATTTTTGCATCCAAGTCCTATTACTTCTTTGCACCTTACCTGTGCATGTGTGTGTTTAATTATATTGGGTACTTTTTTCTTATGTAAGATCTCCTCTTATTCATTAAATCATTTATAGATACAAACTTCTTTGTAGATTTTTTTTTATTTTTGTGATTGCTTGGAAAATTACTGTGCTTATCTTTAGAATGACATAAAATTGCATACATGCATATCTGAGTAATTATCCTTGTAGAGGCAGTTCATCGGTTCTTTTAAATTATCTTAAAGACTTATAAGAGGAATTATCGAAGAAATATTTGTACATAAGATTAAAAGGGAAGATGGAAATTAATAGTATATTTAGTTTTTTAATATAACATGTGATTGTTATTTTTCCTGGTAAAAATTCTCATTTATTCATATGTAACTGCCTTGAAATTTGTACCTTAAGGACAAAGAAAGGTCACCAGTCCTTCTAACTCCTGGTTCTTTGTCAAAAATGGACACAGTTAATGAGGTTTGTTTGGTACAGAACAAATTCTCAGACACAGATAGAGATCCTTTCAATGGAAACAAATTTGTTTGGCTTTACCAGGTTACTTAGCGATTAATAATAGCCTTGAGATGCAGGTCAGAAAGGTCATTGTACCAGCTTGCCAACACAATCTAAACGTGCAGCTAGCCCAGCTCTGTGGGCGCAGAAGCCCCCAAAATACTATGCATAAAGTAAAACAGGCTATTTTCTGACTCCTTTTTTCATATTAATAAGCAATTTTCAAGAGAAGGGTGGCAAAATGAGGGCCATGCCACTCCAAGTAATTCATTTATTTTGCAATTTAATCTTATGTTGAAAAAAATTGCTCTGCTGCAATAGCATAGCATGGTGATTTTTAAACGTCAGTGTGTTTCATAAGTAACCTTGTATGAAGTATTGTATTAGTAGCCTTTAACAGAAAATCACAACAAAAATATTTCTAGACATGAAAGTAGAAATGAGAATCTCTTTTTTTTTTTTTTTGAATCTTTCCATCTCCTTTTCCTTGATATCTTTATGGTAAATGCTCAGATGACTTAAAATTTTACTTAAAGAACTGGACACTAGGTCACATATATATCATTAAAGAAGAATAACAATAATTTCAAAACATTATTTTAACATGAATAGTTAAATGTGTTCTGTGAAAAATAAAAGATTTTTTTCTATATTTGATAATTTCTTCTATTTATCAGGCATTTTTCACATAATGTATTTTAAAAATTTATTTTTTGTTTAAATGTCTTAGATACACACTCATAAATGATGCAATTTTCATGACTTTAATGAAATTTATTCACACTTATTCACCTAGTTTAGCTTTCTTTAAAATTATCTATATAATTGAATAAAATCTTGCAAGAAAATATATGTAATCATGTTGGTATTTTTTAAAGTGTTAACTGAAATAAACTTACATTAAGTATATATATATACATATATATATACTTATATATATATACTTCATTAAGTGTATATATATATACTTATATATACTTCATTAAGTATACATATATACTTTCCCATCCCACTTTCAAAATTAGCCCATTAGTTAGTACACAGAATAAATGATCAGAGATTTGTTAATACAAAATCAAAATTTAAAGGAAATTAGTAGCTCAGCTGTTTTCTTGGGACATTTAGGTATGTCCAAAATAGCTCATTTTCAACCAGAGAAAATGGTAATGGAGTTGTTCACTTACTTTGCACTTGATATATTTCCTCAGCTGTTGAATTAATTAGAATAGGTAGATATTTGATTTAAAATCTTTAGCCACCGAAAAATCACTTAAATGCTTTTTAAAGATTGCAAAGATTCAGTGGAATGTGCAGGTAAGATCGATTACACCGCTGATTTTGATGGATGTGGATGATGGTAGCCCCTCAAAAACTTACTTGATTATCATCAGTGGAAGAGTGAAAATGTTAGCAGATTTTTAGTATCATAAATAACGGCGGATTGTTTTGATGCAGGGAGGCACTCGAGGAGTTTGCAGAGATGAAAGAAAGAGAAGAGAAGAAGGCCGACCTCGAAAGGGAGGAGAAGAAAAGAGATTACCAAGCCCGAAAGATGCATTACCTCCTCAGCACGAAGCAGGTTGGTCTACCTGCCCCTGACAGCTCCCGTAAACCACTTGGGCCCCTAGCCTGACAAAGATAAAGTAGCAGGCTGAATGGGACATGACTTGTTGAAAAGATATCACAAAGACACTACTTCGAGTTCAATTCCGTGCTTGTGTGTAGGTGCATGCAGGCACCATGACTCGTCTGTGACAGCAGCTTCATAGAGGCAGGCGCCTTGACGCTGGCAGAAAGGTGCAAGTCAGCAGGGTGATCTGCCTCTGTGATAACACAACACGAAGGCCGCAACCTCGCTTTTCAAACCCATTCTGAGTGGCTTAGTGCTTTGCGAATTGATCAAGAACTCAGAAGTTACTAAACCGAGGTCACTTTCCTGTTTTATTTGACATTAAAACCTTTCCTGCACCCTTTCTAAATTTCGGTGCCCGTTTTCCAGTAAAGCTTTGAACAAAACTGCTTCAGTAATTGCATCCTCATATTGAGATACAAATGTGGAATTCGGTCTTTAGAATTCTTTCTTCTAAATGGTAAAATTTTAGGGCCTCGGATCTTGTCATAGTTGCTAAAAAAAAAAAAAAAAAAAAAGTACATCGGTGTTTAGAATATTCTGCTTCCAGAGAAATATGGTTAAAAAAAAAAAAAAAACAAACAACATGGGGATCCCTGGGTGGCTCAGCGGTTTAGTGCCTGTCTTGGGCCTAGGGCGTGATCCTGGAGACTCGGGATCAAGTCCCACGGCCGGCTCCCTGTATGGAGTTGCTTCTCCCTCTCCCTGTGTTTCTGCGTCTCTCTCTGTGGCTCTCTCTGTGTCTCTCATGAATAAATAAATAAAATCTTAAAAGAAAAGAACAAACAAAAAAAATACGACTTTGGGGGTCGAGGTAGTTTGGTTAATTGCGCTTCAGGCAGGAAACTAGCAATTTGTGAGTTTCTGTTCTTTTTCATCCACTTTCAAATCCAGTCTTCTAGTTCCAGCCAGAGCCACTAGTTCAAATGTCTCAGACATAGGCAAGTCCAGTCCATTGTGGAGGGTGGTGGAGGGTGTTAGCTGAGACTGAATGTCATGCTTAAAGGCATCCAGATTCAAAAATCTTAAGTACTGGACTGGCCTACATTTGGAACAGAGGCCTATACTTCTAGCTTCTATTTGGTTGTATAATTAACAATACTCTTGATAATGATGACTATCTTAATATTTACTTAGATTTTTAGAGCTATTTGTTATCTCCATTTAACAGGTAAGAAAACTGAAACTCAGAGAAAATTAGGGGAGTAATATATATAGACACAAAACTAGTAGTAATAGGTCTGGTACTCAAACTGAGATCCTTAGATTCTAAATACTTAGGGAGTAAAGATAATAATAAAAAAAAGTTGAGGTATTTTAAGCCTTGATTGTAAATGCATAGCAATGTGAAAATTTTATCTGTATAGTTGGTGGGCTACATTTTTTTAAAGGTAAAAATCACAAATTAAGATTTTTTTTTAACTTCAGTTATTAGTAATTTCAATTTAGATGAAATAAGGGAGGCATAAATATATCCTTTATGCCTTTATGCCTGATATATCCTTTATCACATTTAGAGAATTCTCTTAATGTGATAATAATTACTGGGTAGAGTTGTTTATTTTGATAACTCTGAACCCCTTTTTTGCTTTGAATCTTTCTTAATCTGAGGTCAACTTCTGCTGCTTATACTTAACGATAGGTAGTGTATAGCAAAAATCATTTTTTAAATGGCGAAATCAGATTTAATGAAAACATTTGTTCACTCTCTTTTTTTCCACATTAGAAAGTCTATAAAGAGTTGTTTTACTAATAAAAATAATGCAATAGCAAATATCCATGGAATACTCACCATGTGCCACAGGGTATCGTAGATACTTTATATGCATTATTTCTTTATTTTTATTTCATTTCAGTTTTAAATTTAAACACCTGGTTTAACAAATTTCCAAAAACTTGACCATGTGACTTGACTCCTGGACCTTAACGAATTTGTAATAATACCAGTGTTTTAGTTATGTTTGTGCTAACAAATACAAACTGTTATTGCCCTAGCCCATTTTCCTTCTTGTTTATACCTTGCAGACTGCTGCTAATATCCATGCATATAAACATTAGTTTAGTGATCCTTTGTCTCCAGAAATCCTTGGCATCCAATAGAACGGTTGTTTTTGCGGCACTGTGGTACAACAGAAAGAGTATGGTCATTGACATCAGACCGAGCTAAGTTGGCATCCAAGCTCTCTGGACCACTTAGGGTAAAATATCAGGAGATTACCTGGAATTGTCTGTTTCACTCTACAATTTGAAAGAATGCTCTAAGGACTGAATGTAATACATTTAAAATACTACCTGGCCCTTAGAGAGCATTCAGTAAATAATAACAATCGTATTATTAGAATTTAACCTGTCACGGATAGACGAAGATTCTACAATTTCATTTTCTTCTGTTTTTCTTAGTCGTTGGAAGCATTCATTTTCTCATTTCTTTTCTTTGCTTTTCCTTAATTATTGATCAAAATTAGTTAGAAATATTTATAATTATCTTTTCCCAATATTCCCCTCCCCCATTTTACATCAGGTCTCACAGACCTGAGGGCAACAGAGGGGAAATGATGTTTTTAAATCCTCTTCCTTGGACAGGAATATTATTAAAATATTAGAGATTTTCATTTGAATCCGGCAAGTCGGTATGTTTTGTCATAGTTATCTTCATATTTGACCACAAGTAACTGGAGATAAAATGACAACCCTTTGAACCTATGCAGACACTTTTATTCCCAAAGCAAACTTTTTTTTTTTTTTTTTTGGTAACGAAATAGAATAGTGGTATCATCTTAGTCTCATCTGTTGACTTTCTTCAGGGGATTAGTTGTACTAATGGGATGATACTGGAAATTTCAAATGTTTTATTCCTTTTAACTACCAGATTTTCTTCACTTAGCTTTAAATCAGTATTTTTCCTTATGATATAAAAAGTGGCGAATATTAAACTGATATTACAAGTAGCAATTATAAACCATTTTACCCATGCAAAAGTATGTAATATTCACCTTAACCTAAACAAAGATATGCAATAACATTAATAAATAAATTGAATATAAATCTTAACTTTAAAATTCATCAATTATTCCAATAACATATTTTTGAGTACTGACAATCTATCTGGTACTGAAACAGGACTAGGACATATAAATGCATATATAAGGTCCTTAACCACCAGAAACATTCACTCTGATTTCAGTCTATGCCAATCAAATATTTTCACTAGAGAAAAATTTGACACCTTTCAATTACAATTTATATAGGTAGTTTGATTGAAATTAACAGCCATTTATTTTTATGACTTAGCTGATTCCGTTTATGATTTTATTTTCACAAAAACCTTTACTTTCCCTAACCGAAGGAAGACTCAGAAAATGAAAGACACATGTTTCAATTTGATTATTATTACCGATTTTCTCAGCATGACTTGGCTATTGGGGAGAAATTAACTTGCAGATTTTAAAACATTCCTGAGATGTTTACAGATTAATTTCATTGCTTGTTTTTTAAGAGTTTTCATTTCAATTTATAGTAAATATACATTTAAGAACAAAATAAAAGCCAGATATGAATTATTTGTTTTTAAAGGCTTGTGTCAATTTTAACTCTCAATTTGTTCAGTTGTTTGAAAATTTGCTGAGTAAATATTCAAGTGTAAATAATTGTTATAAGAAGTACATCAGGATAGGAAAAGTTTTGCTGATGTATGTAAAGAGAATAATGCTAATAGCCTTTTTAGAGCTAGTTTATTGGTGATTTCAATAATTTAGGAGTGATTTATAGTGATATATAATGATAGTTTGTAAAATACTAATTTTCATATTAAATTTTCATAGATCTAATATAGCTTCACTTATATGAGTAGAAATAAAACATTAATTCAGACAAAGAATACTTTATAAAAGGTAAGGAATTTTCTAAGCCAAAATTATATTGTGAATTCATATATAGATAATAAATTAAGGTATGTGTTACTTAATGTAGTAATAATTTTAGCACTATTATGCTGATATACTGACATACTGATAACCTAGTTTCAAAGTCAGAGTTAGTACAAATCTAATATATATCTTAAAATAGTTCTAAAATCTATTCCTGATTTTTACTGATATTAAGTATCTCATCTTTATGCAAGCAAATATGTTAGCATTAATAGATATTACACAAGTAAATAACTAATGTTGCAATGAGTGAATTAATAGACCCCTCAGGGTTTTATTAATTAAAAAGTTCAAGTCATATTAAAGCACCTTTTGTATATGTTTATTTCAATCAGAAAGCTGAACATGGTAACTTATTTGCATAAATAATCAATCACCATTTACTAGTAGTAATAAGGTTAATTTGTTGCTACAGACATAATAGGATTAGTCAATTATATTTCCCAGAAAATACTATTTGTTATGCACCCCATCACCTGTAAAACAGAATTGGGTTTAGCACCCTTATTAAATGAACACATCAAAACATCTTTGTCCCTGTAAAAGTTTTATGAAAAGAAAGCTAATTTTAGTTGATTTGAATAAGTAAAATGCAAACATTGCTTCCATTTGTAAATTTAATTTATCTTTCTGCAAAGATTGATTATTTAATAAAGTTATTTATTTTGATTCAGTAACCAGTCAAACTAAATCTAACACATATAGGACATATTTTCTTTGAAGAAAATCTCATTTGCAGATTTGTTTTATTTCAAATAAACTGACTTTCATTCCTGTCCTTGTTCTTGGGTAATAAATTATGTTGTCTGCTCCACCTACTGGTAGATACATGCAAAAGGCCTATTGTTGGACTCATTAGAAGACACTGCCTCTAAAATGTTGCCAGAATATTTACAGATCCTCCTAGAGAACAGCAGAGTTAAAAGTACAAATGTAAGATTCAAAATCCACATCATAAATAATGTTTAGAAATATAGCTTATTATATAGAATTATATACATTGTTTCCTGATCAGTGAATATT